GATCGTGAGTTCGATTATTGTAGATTGGATTATACATAGATACCATTGAAATATTACTTACCTTTCGCCGAACCACTAGGAGGTTTGGACGAGTGGTATAAGACGTGGATTTCCGAAAGCCATGACCCAGGTTCGAATCCCGCATTGGGCACTTTTTTTTTTTTTTTTATGAAGAAAAAATATATATTGCTTTTATTTGTGCTTCGATTCTTACAAAGTTCCAATGCCACCAATAAGTGCAAATAAAAAAAATGAAAAAAAAAACAGGGCTATTACACACTGTAAGTGCGAAAGTCGAACTGCGCTTTCTTACATGTGTAGATATGTGGTACACTTGCAGTTAAAGCAGTTGCTAACTACTGCCCATCACAATTACCTTGTCTGTGTTATACACGTGTTATAGAGATTAAACTACTTGTCCATTTTGAGGTGTTTATAGTTTAACACGAAGCTTTACTTTTTCCATCTTTGGAAAAGTGGCAACAATAGGCCATTTAAACGACGGACAAACCATTGTTGAAGATTGATGTATTAGTAATTGACTTGGAGTTATAATATGATGGAACGATATCAAACAAATGTTGTCAGTGTCCATCAAGTTGACTAGGTAGTTAGAACTAGAAATAATTGAGTTTTTCTTGACGTTACCTTGTGAAAGAAATGAAAAATAAATAAATAAAATAAACGTAGATTCTCTCTCCCTTTACATATAATAATTTTATAATTTAAATTTTAAAAATTCACTAATTATATATATTTTTTAAAAGTTTTTTTTAAATTTTATTTCGTCTCAATTTACAGCTGTAACATTCTAGTCACCTTGTCCTGGCTATTTACACATGGCGAGTTGGTGGAGTAGAAGTGGTCCCCCTAGGCCTTGCAGGAGGGCAGCTGTTGGGCGATGAGCTCTTAACTAAGCGTTTTAAAAATTGAGAAATAATTTGATTTACATAAGCCAGCAGCTTTTATGGACCAACTAGAGGCTCGACGGTGGCGGAAATCGTAACTAAAATTTATCTTAATTTTTTTTTTACGTCTTTAAAAAAAATAAGGTTATATGTTTGGAAGGTTATTAATATATAAGTTATTAGTAAAAAAGTTATTTACTCAAATTTCCTTTAAAACCGCGTAAAAATACAAAACTAATTTTAGTTCCAATTTCTGCCCTCGAGCGCCACCGTCGAGCCTATATTGGGTCCATAAAATTGACTTAAATGAGTCGTCTTTAGATTTCTGTGTTTACTCAAATAAACCAGAGTGAAACCTTGCTGTATCGTGTTGTTCTATTGATATTTATAGTAAAACTTTGTTTTTGCTTATTTTAAGAGACTAAAAAATAAATTCATTAATATGAAAAAATTCCGTTAAAATTAAATTATAGGCTTATTTACCCCTAAACTCTACATAGGTAATGTTTAGTGGAAAATCAAAAGTATCAAAAGTATTTGGAAAAATAAATATAGTAGGTTTGAACGTTTTGTTTATTTTCAAATTCATAATTTATTTATATTGTTTTACAGTTTTTACTGATTAAATACACTCATGGACAAAACTTAAGGAAGTTGTACCTTTTACCATGTATATCGGGATTCAAACAATAACTCTGAAAGATACACTCATGAACAAAACTTAAGGAAGTTGTACCTTTTAGCATGTATATCGGGATTCAGACAATAACTCTGAAAGATACACTCATGGACAAAACTTTACCTTTTAGCATGTATATCGGGATTCAGACAATAACTCTGAAAGATACACTCATGGACAAAACTTAAGGAAGTTGTACCTTTTACCATGTATATCGGGATTCAGACAATAACTCTGAAAGATACACTCATGGACAAAACTTAAGGAAGTTGTACCTTTTACCATGTATATCGGGATTCAGACAATAACTCTGAAAGATACACTCATGGACAAAACTTAAGGAAGTTGTACCTTTTACCATGTATATCGGGATTCAGACAATAACTCTGAAAGATACACTCATGGACAAAACTTAAGGAAGTTGTACCTTTTACCATGTATATCGGGATTCAGACAATAACTCTGAAAGATACACTCATGGACAAAACTTAAGGAAGTTGTACCTTTTAGCATGTATATCGGGATTCAGACAATAACTCTGAAAGATACACTCATGGACAACACTTAAGGGAATTGTACCTTTTAGCATGTATATCGGGATTCAGACAATAACTCTGAAAGATACACTTATGAATAAAACTTAAGGAATTCAGTCTTGGTTGAGAGATATAACAACCACTGTGCTTCCTCTAGCTTTAACGATATTCCCAGCTTTCTACTGAATTGTAGAAATGGTGTAGTACAAGTAGATACAGGTCTCATCGGACAACGAATCAAAGGCTTTTAAATATACTCAAGGACAAAGTTTAAGGAAATTGTACTTTTTTAACATGTATATCGGGATTGAGACAATAACTCTGAAAGTTATTACAGTGACCTTTATTGAAGACACACGAGATAACCAAGTGTGAACAACCTCTGTCTCCATAGAAGAAAAAAAAAAAAGACGACTGGCGACATCAAAGACCTAAGTTCCTTAAGTTTTGTCCATGAGGTGTATACAGTAAAACTATCTCTCTCTAAAGGACAACACCTATTTGCATAGTTAAAGTTTCCTTTAGAGAGAGATGTCCTCTGTTCTGAGTGCAACTATTACATAAATTAACACAAAGCAATAACGCGCCATCTATACATATAAAATGAAAGGATTTAAAAGCACGAATGTTTCTTTTATACATAATACAAACTTCTACTGTTCTATAAGCTTATGTCCATAGTGTTCTTGAAAACCATTTCTGAGATTCCATCCTTCAGTGCTGCGTATATAAACAGAATCGTCCAATACAGTATTAGAGCTCTAAGAAGCGGTCTGGTGGATTAAATTGGCGAAACCGCTGGGAGGGTTCACCACTGATGAGCCAACCCCTCCCAATATATTTTTTCATCGCAGTAAGGGCAGTAGAAGTTTGTATTATATATAAAAGAAACATTCGTGCTTTTAAATTCTTTCATTCTATATTACATATATACTTATATTACATATATATAATAATTGGAAAAATGATTATTTTGACTTTTAAAACTGACCTTTGTAGCGAGAGTATCCTCTCATGGAGTATGTTCTCCTATGCTAAATATTTAGCATACTAATTTGTGATATGGAAATATATTAGGCGAATACTGACTGCTCAGACGAGTATTTTGGATTTTAGAGCGCCATCTATCGGAATAAATATAAAATAAACTTTGATTTAGGTTAATTCCTATAATATTTAGCCAACCCATTTTCTTGATAATTCAAGAAAATTTAACCATGTACGCGTTTCGGGCTGTTGGCCTTCGTCAGTGTTAGCATACTAACTTTTTTGTGTGTTTAATCCGATAGTAAAACTTAATCAACAAACTGTGTATTATGATGCATTAGCGCGACATCTGTTATGAAAATTCGAAACTATTATAGACGCGCATGATTCTTTTTAAAATAAAACAATTTCTACTGCCCTTACTGCAATGGAAAAATTAATGAAAAAAAAAAAAGACTCAATTTGATATTTGCGGAAGAGCGATTGCTCGAAGCATATTTTATATTTATAATTGTATTTAACTCTGCTGTCCTCAAAGCTTATGTCCATAGTTCATCTAAAATACCCATTCCAAGAGTCTAGCATCAGTATTACTATAAAAGGAAGATAAAAAAAATGCAATATAACAGCGGTATGGTAGATTAAACTGTCGAAACCGCTGGGAGGGTTCACCACTGATGAGCCAGACCCTTCCATTAATTTTTCCATTGCAGTAAGGGCAGTATAAATTGTTTCATTTTTAAAAGAATCATACGCGTCTATAATAGTTTCGTATTTTCAAAACTGTGTATTGTTTATCTATTGGGTGAATAAAGTGTATTTATTTACAAACAACTCGGTAATTAAAAAACTAGGGCTAACTCTTTTTTATTTCGTCCATAATTTTCGGAATATTCAAAACCTGATGATGACTCTCGCAAAGAGACGAATTTTCTTTCAATAATTTTTTTGGTAACTCTTTTTAAAAAAAAATAATTTATCGTAAATTTAAAATATAATCTTTATAAATTACCATGGACTATCAATTTCGTCATAGACTTTCGAAATTTCTCCATCAACTTTCAATCTTCGAGGTGGAGTTATGTAAATTGAATCGTCATCCATTTTCCGGGATTGTTCTGTTAGGAAGATGTTACGTTTATTCTTTGACATTTCCCAATATTTATGGTATAGCATATCTTCTTCTTGGCAATACTTATAGCATTTCTTTTCCATCCATTTTCTTTCGTGTTTGAAATCTTGAAGTTTTTTTGGTGGTGAATCCTCCTCCTCTGGGGTTTGTTTGGATCTTGATTTACCATCTTGAGATGACCTTGGATGACCTGTGGAGAATCCTTGACCAAAGATCTCTTCGTTCACAATATCTCTGAACTTGGGGGCGCTGCCTCTTTGCTTGGAAATGCTCATTATACCTTCATCGAGTGAGAAATTGAGACGCCGAACTTGCGCAATCAGTGTCTTAAAACGTTGTTTGGGTTCCATAGACCGTGTTTGAAACATGGGGGTTCCGGGAAAACTCATAAAATATATTTTTTTGAGATTTCGCTTTGGGGAGCTTAAATAAACATTCTTGCAAAAAGATGATATGAAGAGCGTGCCGCACGAGCCTCTCCTTGAGTTGAGGATTTGCTTTTTTAAAAAATATATATTTAGATATAATAAGGTTGTCCCAAAATTTCGTGTTTTTTCTTATTAGCGAATAATATTATTACGGCGAATACATAATAATACAATTACTTTATACATAATACAAAGACATTATACATAACGGCGAATAATATTATTGAGGCTGTTGGACACCAGTCAGCGCTGCCACTCAAGTATAACACGTGACCGGAAGGATGACGTCGGCCCCCCCCCCTCCCCTCCAACTGACTGTGAAATGTTTAGCCTGACAACGCTGTTGCTTGTTTACCGGAGGATGTAACCTCTTTGTTTCTCTCTTTCCCTTTTTAATCTTTATATCACCTATGCTTTAATAAATTAGTTAGTGCAAGGCTCTTGTCCTAAGTGTAACCAAGTACCTTGTCTACACCCCTAC